AGTTTTGGGGGGCCCTCAAGGCTTGACTATCTTGACTCTTTGTTTTTGCGTTAGTGCGAGGTCTATTAGGTCTGTTTCCCTGCCAGGGTGCATCCCTGGCATGGGAAACATGTTTAACTTTTTCCCAGCTCCTTAAGCAAATCCAAGACTGTGACTTGTTCTTCTGCCCGTTGAAAGCTACTCAAGTCCACCCCCACTTCCACCGGCAACACTCATGAGACATCTTTTTTTCAGCCCCAAACACAGCTGCACCTGCGAGCACATGTTCCAACTGGCTCCCCGGTCCCCGACGGTAGATTTCTATCTACTGAGCGAAGCCACCACACCACCCAACTCCATGGTTCTGCAGGAGTTCGTCAATGTCCTGGCCGGAACGGCTGGTGGACAGAACGCTGGCACACATCATAGCACAGGCGCCGATCTCGGGGAGAAGCATGTGGTGGCGCGGTTCGGCCCGCCTTGGCGGCCGTGGTGGCGCGGTTCGGACCGAGTAGTGTGGGACTGGGAATCGTCGTGTTGTTCGGACCGAGAAACCCACAAACACGGTGTCACTGTGACTCAGGGAACGGGTCACAGACCTGCATGACTCTCTGACCTGCCACGGCGAGGGCGGGGTCCATAGCGACAGTCGAGCAACATCGATCCGACTCATTCGATGATGGACCTTGTCGTACCCCTTCCATCATATCTGGTGTTCATTTCTGCTGCTCGATGACGGGTGATTGCAAGGCTTCCTGTGGGATCAACGTTTTGACCTCCAAATCACCTCGGCCACACCGACCCACCCCGGGCAGTTCAGCGTCCGTCCGGGCGCCGGCTTCGGCGTTCGGTGCCGCCGGAGCTCCAGGGAATGTCCTGCCGCTGGTGGCGCGGCCCTGGGGATTCAATCACTGGGCGCCTCAGAGTGTGGACCCGAAGATCAAGACCAGCTGGTGGTTCCTGCGGTATGCACCGCGATCTCGAAATCGATCTCAGGGATGAATGGAGGGTCGCTGGTATAGCTGCTCGCTTCAAGACTCGAGGGGTGACTTGACCTGCTTCCTCAATGGGAATGATAATCTGATAGTGTAAACATGTATAATATATAACAACTTACATACATAGGTAGTATATATAATATATAGTATTTAATAAGGTTTGGACTGCCACCGGTGCAGACCACAACTGGCTTGTCACCCTTCGAATTCAGAACTTCCTCAGCCAACATCAGAAAAGATTCTTCACGAAACCCAGAGGTGCCTTTTCGTCGGGACGTGTCTCTCCCGTCAGTGATGAAAATGGCCACGGATGGTGCGTTTGGACCGATGCTCCGGACGAATCCGGATGTTCCGGACGAAAGCCACTACTGTAGTTGACTGAAACCAGATGAGCATCAGTAGTCAGACACTCCGAAATGGAGCTCCACAGCGAGTCCCAGGTTTGACGCCAACAGCGACACCTTCTATGGCCTTCGCTGCACCCACCAGCCATCTCCATGGATTGGAGACTATGCGTGCCTTGGAGGACGTGATGATCCTCTCCCTCTACACAACTCGGAAACGGCAGCCGTTGATCTGCCTTCAGATTCAGAATGCATGTAACAAACAATGCATTCTGAATCTGAAGGCTTGGGGAAGAGCTTTTAAGCTGGTTCCGCGGAATCTTTTCCGTGAGCCGCGAGAGTTTGGTTCTGCGAGCCGCGAGCCACGTGGCATGAAATAAATAGACTGCTGGCAGATTGTCCTCTGTTTCACACCGACTGAGATTTGTGGGATGGGCCCGGGATGGTTTGGTCCAAACGACCTCCACACCGGAACAGTCGGTTTGACATGGCGGATTTTGTGATGACAACCACGCCTGTTGTGGTGTCCTGGTCCGCGAAGCCCCATGAAGCAGATGACTGTCTTAAAACCTCGGATTGTTGAGCAGGCACCAGACAAACTTATGAAGATAGAATACTACAGTAGGGTAAACAATACTTACACCGGCGAGGGAACAACCGCTTTACCATGCTTTTCCTGTAGAAGGACTGCCTGAGCCCTGAGCCCTGAGCCCTGAGCCCTGAGCCCTGGGCTGTTTGCAGCTCGCTCTCAGGTGGTTCTTGCTGGTCCTTGAGACGGGGTATCACATGAACCACCGCATGGGCTTCACCAGCTACTACGCCGAAGGCGCCTTAAGACCCTTCTTCCTGGACCTGAAGCTGGGGCCCTATGGGCCTCTTGGAAGAAGCCATGAAGCCATGGGTCCGAGACGGAGACGGATTGGGAAGCGGGTTGATGTGGAGACGAAGATTGACGAAGTTGACGAAGTGTGGTGTTTTGTGACCATTTTTCCTGTCTATTCATGGTGGTCGGTAGATGCCTTGCACTTCAATCATGGTTACGTGGGTTCCACTACCTGTTTGGTACTCGGATTTCAGGGTCATCCTTTCACTGCCATGCAGTCCACGTCCACGATGATTTCAGGGAGTGTATGACCCCTTGACCACAGGCTTTGGACTTTTGTGATGTTTGTGTCAAGCAATGGCTCGGGCATCGGAGTGATCCCTCCCAAAGCCGCGCGGCCCAAAGCATCCATTCACCACAAAAATGTGGTGATGCCTTTACTAAAGGCACAAGAAGTGTGCGAGGGTGCATGGACTGCGTGCCTCGTGTTGGGGCGCCCAATGCTGCAACAGATTCCACCCACGCACAGCTTCAGCGTAAGCCCTCCGCAGGCCATGTCATTGCCTTTTGCATCAATGAATGTGAGTTTGTGTCAAGGACATCAATGCTGGCTGGGCAACACAGCCACAGTTGCTGGTAGTGAACGGAGTCCGTTGACATGATGCCATCGGGCATGTGCGTTTTCAGCCCAAGATACACGAGGCACATGCTCAAAAAGTATTGCAAAGGCCGCTCCTTTTGGATATCCCCATACCCTGTAGGACAATGGGAGGAGGGACTCATCTTCGGACCGTTCCCAAGGTGTTCCTTTCCGCCCATGTTCGGTGCGGTTCCTCGGTCATTTGCCCCTCTTCCCGTGTAGCGACCGAGGCACCAGCTGCAGATGACGCCCACGAACCACGGGGGCTTGGTGAAGGTCACCTTCCCAAGTTCCGGGGCACGGAAGCCGCTCGGAAGCCACTGGGAGGGGTCATTTTTGGAGATGTTTATATCTTTTTGACATTTACGTACAATATATTGAAATATACACTGTAAAAGTCAGTGACTGTAAAGAATAGGAACCGATTGGTAGACCATTGGTTGGTGAATCGCATGGCATGGTGTCTTTGAGATGTTTCTTGCAGAAGAAAGACGTTTCCTGGCTTTTGGTAGCGTATACTAGCGGCAAGCAATCATTTGGTGTGCGCCAAAACTGGAGGACCTGGGTTGACCACTGAGAATGAACAGAAGAGACTACCAGGGATGTCAACCAACCGATGCTGGGTCATTTTTGGATCCCCAAATCCAGATCCAAAACGATTCGTCAAGACAAAGACCTGAACGTCGGGCCACCCCCTTCCCGTTCGTGGGCCACGAAGAAACGCCGTCTCCGCCGAGGCTTTGCGCACAGATCCCCAGCGGTGTCCCCAACGACAAGGAGAACGAAGGGGGGTCGAAGTGAGAATTCGGGGGGGCTCCGGAGGGGGAGAGGTATCAATCAAAAAGCAGAGGCCTCGATCCGGATGGGGCGAGCCCCTCGAGTCGCGAGCTGAAGGAGGGATGGCGAACTCAGGCGAACGATTTACACGAGCTAATACGGTACAGTACTAATGCGGTATTAATGCTGTGGCATATTGTGGCCGATTTACGAAACTTTGAAAGCTGGCTGGGTACACGAGTTAAGCTCCTGATCGTGTAAACTCTTTGAGTCGATTGACGTCAACTTTGCCTGTTTCAAAGCTAAAGGAGAAGCGCCCCCGCACCTGCTACTAGTATCAAGTGTATCGCTACTAGCAACAAAGGCATCGCTACTAGTAGCTTCTTGTTGCCAATAAATAGTAATGCACTTGTTACTAGTAGAAGCGCACCCGCACCTGGAATAGCATTGGTGAATGGCCTTCCGCCGTCACAAGGCGACACGACACGCCTTCTCTGCGCCTTCGACACGTCATGTGACCTTCCCCGCTTCGGGTCAGGGCCTCATAGGCCTTCCCCACTCCATCCCACTCCTACTCTTTCCCCGCCCATTTGGCTTGCTCAAATTACAGATGATGACCCTGTGAATTCTGGTGTGAACCTGGTGAATTTCGACCTACTTGTTAGGTGAACAAAAGTGCCAATCTCCTCTCTGGAAACAAGCCTTCCCCCGTTATGCTTCTAAAATGGATGTGCTGAGCGTGAGGATGAGAAGCTGGCAAAGGGAGCGCAGAGCACGAGTGGCTACTGTCGCTTGGCGTGAAAGGATGGGCCGCTCAGTAGGTTTCCTCAATGTCCGTCCGTCTTCAAACGGAACTTTCGGAACGCTGGAGCACCCCCCAAGGTCAGCATGAAGTAGACGGATCGATTCTTTCATGCGAACTACACTAGTTTTCTTTGGGTTGTTCCATCATAAACGGAAAAACATTTTAAAAACGGATCAACTCCAATCGCCAAGAACGGACCGCTCCTCCCATGTTGACGGACCGCTCCTCCTGTAACCACATGGACCTCGTTGTTTTGCCGCAACCGGACGCCGAAGCGAAAAGGTCCAGCGTCAGGACAAACCCTTCCGGCAGAGGTCCCTTGGACTGGGTCTCTTCCGATCTATGTCACCCAAATGTCTTGAGTCCGAGCAAGAAAAAGGGTCCAGTAGAATCCTAGGTGGGGGGGAGCAACCGAACATGTTATGAGTGAGAGTTACTCTGTAAGACACTTTTTGGTGGTTGGTGACTTAGGTAGAGGGATCACTGAACACTGTCAGGTTTGTATGTAGATCCTTTCGGAATCCCCATCGCTCCAGCCCCCCTCCCAGGCCGTGCTGGCGCGGGCGGCGTGGACCTGGTCTCGCGGCGCTTCGCCGACGGGGCACCGCCCAGTGGACTCAGCTTCTTCGTGCGCATGGAGGCGGTCGGAGGCGACGTCGGGCCACAAGGGATACTGCAGGGCAGAGAGAAAGCATCATTCAAGAAGCTGGATGGCCACTTTCACATATGTTGCCAGGTCATTTGCTAGCACATGAATTATGTATTCATGGATTTATGGACCAGTCATTGTTTAGGGATTTTAGAGTAACATTAATGGCGGCCAAGATATATTTATAATATTTTATAATATGACGTAGCCATTGACGTTCATTATCATATAAATGAAATGATGAATCATGAAAAGTACATCCATAAAAGATAAATACGATATCACCATTAAATTCATTTGAAGCAAAGAACGAAACGGTTCCGGCTTATGCAGCGTGAGCATCTTTTAATGTAGCGTTACGGCTTTGCGTGATAGTCCAAAGTTCTTTTTTGACTTTGGTGTCCCTGTCCGGACAGCCTGTTGGCTGCAGGGATTCTATTCTCCCCACCCCTTGAAACCACCTTGATCAACTCTTTACTCACCAAGCGCAGAACTACATACTGTAGACGTTTTGGCGAGGCTTGTCTATTCTATGTTTCTTCTTCCCTTGCCCTTTTTGGGACACTGCGCGTGCTTCGTCTCTTCACCTTCGCGACGTGAAGTCGCGAACGATGCGAAACGGGGTTCTCGATCACCAGCGGACCGGACGCAGGGATGCGTGGCCGACGTTGCGCGGCCCGGATGCGTTGGATGCGTGGGTTGAGTCAGCAAGTTCAGACATGTACAGGTGCTACGGTGGAGGAGCACTTGCTCGCGGACTGCTTCGAGCAGAACGTTGGATACGAACCCATGAACATGCCAGGCGAGTGGGAGAGGAAACCATGTCCAGTGGTCGTGTGTGTGTGTGTGTGTAACCCTTGGAATCATAGGGATCCTTTCGGATTGTTTT